AAAATAATAAATAAACTTTTAAAATTAAGAACATTTTTTAAAAAGTATTACCTTCTGGGTGTTGTGGTGCACGCTTTTAATCCTAGCACTCAGAAGGCAGAGGCAGGAGAATATCTGTGAGTTCAAAGCCACCCTGGTCTACATAGCGAGTTCCAGGCTGGCTGGGGCTACAGGAAGACCCTGTCTCAAAAAGACCACAAAAAAAATTATTAACTTTGTTGTGGGGGTGAGTGCATATTCATGTGCCACTGTGAGCACAAGGAGGTCAGAGGGCAGCTTGCAGGAGTAGGTTCTCTCCTTTGACCATTTAGTCCCAGGAACTGAACTCAGATTGTCAGGCTTGGCAGCAAGTACCTTTACCCACTAAGCCATCTCTCCAGCCCAAAAGACCACTTTAGAGAAGCCCAGGACAGAAGGGAGGACAGGAGAGTGTCTCCCAGCCAACTCTCTCCCTCTGATTTTAAAAGGCAAGCAAATTCAGGGTCTCTTGAAGCAAAATGAACAAAGTCTTCTTTATCCAGAGATTGTGCTCGGTGAGGTGTAGCCACGCCAACACTTTCCCAACAGAGCAGCCCCAGGATGGGGCCTTTCTTACCCACTCTGTGCTAGGTTTAATACAGCTAGACCCTATCAGCTTGGCTCCAACTGACAGTGCCAGTGACAACCTTCCACATTGGCTCCTCCACCTTTAACACACACATCTCTAGGGGGCACGCTAGCAAAACCCCCATGCCTGCCACTTTTTCTTCCTTCCCTTCTTTCTTTCTTTCTTTCTTTCTTTCTTTTTTCTTTTTTCTTTCCTCCTTTCTTTTTTAACACAAGTTCTCTCACTGGATGGAACCCACCAAGCAGTTTCTTTCTTTCTTCTTTCTTTCTTTCTTTCTTTCTTTCTTCTTTCTTTCTTTCTTCCTTCCTTTCTTTCTTCTTTCTTTCTTCCTTTCTTCTTTCCTTTCTTTCTCTTTCTTTTTTCTTTCTTTTTTTCCTTTTACATTATTTACTCACGTGTGTGTGTGTGTGTGTGTGTGTGTGTGTGTGTGTGTGTTCATAGGCCATGGCACAGGAGTGGAGGTCAGGAGACAGCTTTCTGGAGTCAAGTGTCTGCTTTTACCATGGGGGTCCTGGGGATCAAACTCAGGCGGGCAGGCTTGATGGTGAGTGCCTTTACCAGATGAGCCAGTTCACTGCTTGCAAGTAACCCTTCACCCACATGTGTAAGCAGTGGAATCACACTTTTCATTGCTGCCCTTTCTGGGGTGAGTAAATGCTTATTCATGTCTTCCCAGGAAATTTTCACACAGCAGACCCACTGGCATGCATATCTTCAATCAACCAAATGAAGTAGATGATAATTACCAAGGAAATGGGTTCTAAGCAAACAAACGCCCTTCCCGAACTGGGGGAGTCAGGGTCCGAATTTAGATCCTGCTTTTGCCTCAGCATTCATTCTTTCCACAGCTCACGGCTCCCCATTTAATACTTCTCCCAGAGTGTTCTGCACTCTCTGGTTTGGAGATGCTCTCTTCGATGGAGACTGAACTAGAAGTGGATATTGAACAGTTCTGTATCCTCCTTATGCCTGCAGTATAGCGTAGCCTGGAATATCTACAACCAGGGTCCGTGCAATCCTAATTTCCCTCCAGGTGTCAAAAGGAACTTGTTGACTTGTCAAGTGGTTTGGGAAATGGTTCTTCACTTTGAGCCATATCAGATGCATGAGCACATTAAAGGTTCTGCTAAGTTCTATAGTAAATAACCTGTTGAACTTTACTTAGCTCCATGTCTCCTAAAGTCATTGGTCACAAACTCCTGTGTTAGAGGAACAACTGAAAATTCTGATAGGATAGTAAGCATTCCTTGGGACAGAATTTAGAAAATCTGATACAGCAGATCAAATTCTAGGCTTGAATCAGAGACTCCATTGTCTGGCCCTTACAGACATTTTGTCTAAGCTTTGGCGTATCAGAGTGTTCACAGCATACGCTGTGAACTGAAATAAGATGCAAGATCTTAACAGCTGCTGTGTGCTACTGTGCTGACCATGGCTTACACTCCTAGACCAACACCCTTTGTTCTCACTGGGACCCTCAGTGGTGGACTGTGTCATTGTATACAGGAGAAATGGTGCTGCCCCGCACCTCCAGAGCCTTGAAGTCTTCATGGAGAAGACAGGATTTAAACCCAGACAGCCAGGTCTAGGTCTCATGACCACCCATCCTGCCTCCTTGTGCCTCGGTGCTCTGGAGCCACAAGGAGGCCCTAGGACTATTTCTCAACTTCTGCCTCACTTTCATTTCAATGATAGCTAGTTTAGCCCAAAGACAAAGACCTCTAAATTCTTGCAGTGTGCTGGAGAAGCTGTTGAAAATTCCAAGTTGGTACACCACAGTGCGCCCAGGGTATGGCACGACTTTAATGCAACTTGTTCTTACTATCGCTGTGGGTGCAGTGGAGGCAGAAGTGACAAGGACATCAGGCATCCCTGTCACCAAGAGTCCCTGGGGCCTGGGCTGCCTGCTCTGATCTATTCTCAACTGGGAACTTGCTCTCCAGAACCAGGCCACCTGGAGATGCTCTGCCACTCCCCCTTCCTTCCTTTCCTACCCCAACTTTTAATTTTTTAACAAATAAAATTGATGCATGGTAAAAATATAAAACAGTACTGAGTATAGAATAAAAATTGATCTTGCTGTTAGGTGTGGTGGTACGTGCCTTTAATGGCAGAACTCAGGAGGCAGAGGCAGGTGGGATCAAGGCCAGTCTGGTCTACCTAGTGAGTTCCAGGCTGGTTGGAGCTATAAGGAGACCCTGTCAAAAACAAAAAGTAAGGTATAGGGGCATAGGGGTAGGAATGCAGCTCAGCTGATAAAATATTTGCCTAGCATACATGAGGCCTGAGGTTCAATGCCCATTACCAATAAACTGGGTGAATGTGGCGGGGAAAGCCTATAATCCTGTTATATGCTGTCTAGGGATCTTGGATACTGATGGAATTATACTTTAGACTGTCATTGATGCCCTGTAAAGAGGGGGTAGACATTGTTTATGTCTCCCAGGGAAAGAGTTCCTGCAACATACTCCAAGAAAAAAAAATTCTGTGACTCTGGGGATTGAACCCAGGACCTGGTGCATGTTAGGTGAGTGCTCTCCCATTGAGCCACACCCACAGCCTTGCTCCATGAATTTTTTAAAAAACTTTTTTTATTCATTATTTTTACTTTATGTGTATGAGTGTATTGCCTGCATGTACGTGAGTGCACCCTTGTTGTGCAATGCCATGGAGGTCAGAAGAGGGCTTGGGATTCCCTTGGAACTGGAGTTAAGGATGGTTCGTAGCCATTATGCGGGTGCTGGGAATTGAACCCGGGTCCTCTGCAAGAGCAATCAGTGCTCTTGACCGCTGAGCCATCTCTCCAGCCCCAGCTCCATGAATTTTTACTTGTATATAGACATCTGTACCCACCACTGAGATCAACATGTGTTACATTTCCAGCTCCCCAAGAGGCTTTCTTGCCTTTCCCTGATAACCTCTGTATTAGTTACTTTTCTGTTGCTGTGGTATAACGCCATGATCAAGGCAATTTATAGAAGAAAGAGTTTGAGTTTATGATTCCAGAGGGATTAGAATCCACAATGACTAGGGAGGCATGGTGGCAGAGGTTGTCAGAGCAGAAAACTGAGCAATCACATCTTCAAGTAGGCACAGGAAGCAGAGAGAAACTGGAAATCTGGCAAGCCTTAAGAACTCTTTAAGCCTGCCCCCAGTGATGGATGTGCTTCCTCCAGCAAGGCCACACCTCCTAAAACCTCCCAAAACAGTGCCATCAACTGAGGACAAAATGTCCTAACACCTGGAGTCTATGGAGGACATTCTCATTCAAATCACCAGTCTCCTACTTCAGAAACCACTCATTGGCGGAGTTCCACCTTTGCTCGAGCTTCTCTTAAGGGGACTCAGAGGATGCTCTTGTTCATGGATTTTTTTAAGTTGCTGTTGAATCCATGAGATGCACCATATTGCTGACTACAGCAAGAAGTCATTCTTTCTCATTGCCACGTAAATTCATTTGATGGGTAATTGGGTTTTAGAGAGACTTTGTTGGTATTTTTTCTCATAACATCAATGAAACACTATCACTAACATCCACCTCAGTGGTATGAGATGCTTCTTCTGAATTTGAGAACAAAATCAAAATGTCTACTATCTCTACTTCTCAATTTAACATTTCACTAAATGTTCTAACCAATGCAATAACTCAAGAAAAATAAAAGAAAATTGGAGGGGCTGGAGAGATGACTCAGCAGTTAAGAGCATTGTCTGTTCTTGCAGAAGACTTGGGTTTGAATCCCAGCACCCACATAGCGGCTAAAAACCATCTGTAACTCCAGTTCTAAGGGATCCAACATGCTATTCTGTCCCCTGGAGGTGCTGCATTACATGGATGCACTTACACACATGCAGGCATAACACTCATACATGTAAAAAATATATAAATTTTTAAAAAAAGAAAATTGGAAAGGAAGCAAAAAAGCTATCTCTTTGGTCTTTTTTCTTTCGCAGGTGGCATGCACACATATTAGGAAAGCCAAAAAATCCACTGACATTAGCAAGTGAATGTACCAAATCTACTAGCCACAAGCTCAATATTAAAAACCATTAATTTTGCCAGGTGAGGTGGCTCATGCCTTTAACCCCAGCACTTGGGAGGCAGAGGCAGGTGGATCACTCAAGGCCAGCCTGGTCTGCATAGCAAGTTCTAGGCCAGCTGGGGCTATAGGGAGACCCTGTCTCAAATACAACACAACACAATACAATACTCGATTTATTTCTATATAATTTGCAACATTTGAAAAGTAACATATTTTAAATACCACTTATTAATTGTGGGGTGTGTGTGTGCACGCATACGTGCGTGCGTGCGTGTGTGCGTGTGTGTGTGTGTGTGTGTGTGTGTGTATGTGTGTATGTGTTGTGGGGGAATCACTTCCACCTATCCACAAGCATGGGGAATATCTTTGCAAACCTCTTCAAAGGCCTTTTTGGCAAGAAAGAAATGCACATTCTCATGGTGGGCCTAGATGCTGCAGGAAAGACAATTCTATACAAACTGAAGCTGGGTGAAATTGTGACCACCATCCCCACCATTGGTGAGAAGCTGGGCTGGGTTGGGGTTGAGGCCTGGGGGTCCCAAGTGCCAAGGGCCCTCAGCTACAACCTTGCCTCCAGGTTTCAATGTGGAGACCACTGAGTACGAGACATCAGCTTCACCGTGTGGGACATGGGTGGCCAGGGCAAGATCTGGCCTCTCTGGTGTCACTACTTCCAGAATACTCAAGGCTTGATCTTTGTAGTGGACAGCAATGACAAAGTGTGTGGTAACGAGGCCTGTGAGGAGCTCATGAGAATGTTGGCTGAGGATGACCTCCAGGATGCTGTTCTCCTGGTGTTTGCCAACAAGCAGGACCTTCCCAATGCCATGAAAGTGGCCAAAATCACAGACAAGCTGGGGCTGAACTGTCTACGCCACAGGAACTGGTACATTCAGGCCACCTGTGCCACCAGTGGGGATGGGCTCTATGAAGGACTAGACTGGCTGTCCAATCAGCTCCAGAACCAGAAGTGAACCAGACCCCATCCTTCCCCCCACTTCCTCTTCTCCACCCTCCACTTTCCTCTCATGTGGTAAACGTGCAACTCTGTGGTCCTGAGTGCCAGAAGCTCTCTCCATGGGTTGGTCACAGTATGCATCGCACAGGTGCAGCCTGAAGCCAGGATTTTATTTAATGTAAATAGTTTCTGTTTCCACTAAGGCAGTTTCTGGTACTCCTATGCAATATTACTTAGCTTTTTTATTGTAAAAAGAGAATCAACTGTTAGTACTGAGAAGGGAGCTCCTCCAGGAGCCATTTGGCTATAGGCTGGTGTTGGGATCCATTTGGTGGTTGGTTTTTAACCTAAATTCAGTGCATTTTTTAAAATAGTTAAAATACAAGACAAGAACACTCAAATACACAGAAGGGAGACTATGCCTAGTGTAGGCTTTGCAGTAATGGCCTGAATGCTGGTCCATTGGACTGGCTGTTCCTGTGGGAACAAAGCACTATCCGCTGCGTGGTCCCAGTGGAGCCCTGCGACTTGCCTGTCTTTGGGTCACCTGCATTCCACAGCATTGTGCTTCTAGTTGTGCTCACATGGTCACCTAGGGGCGGGCTGGGGCTATGGAGGGGTGCAGGGCCTGGCCTTGTCCTTGGTCGATGTGTGCGTGGCTGGGCCAGATGGCAGCCCAGCTTGCTCCTGGGCCCACTCGGACGCACTGGCAGGAGGCCTGGGACTCACCAGCAGGAGTGCGTGTAAGCTGGGAGGGTCAGTCCACTCCAGACCCACATCCCAGAGCACCCCCATCTCCATGTGTTTAATAGCTTCCTCCCTCAGCCTGTGAGGGTCCGATTTGCCATTGAAAGATGACCTCTACTTTTTTCTTTTGTATTCTGATAAACACTGAAGAAGCTGGAGCTGTTAAATTTATCTTGGGGAAACCTCAGAACTGGTTTATTTGGTGTTGTGGAACCTCTTACTGCTTTCAATACACAATTAGTAATCAACTGTTTTGTATACTTGTTTTCAGTTTTCATTTTGATGAGCACTGTAATTATAGCTATTAGAAAAAAAGTCTCTTAACTATTTAAAAGAAAAAGATAATGTATTAATGTTTAGGGAATCTGGATATGTCAGTCAGTTTTTTGAGATAGTGCAGATATCTAAAAGAAACAACTTAAGGAAGGAAAGATTTATTTTGGCTCATGGTTTCAGGGGTGTCAGTCCATGGTCAATGGTTCCATTGTTTCTGGACCATTTCAAGGCCAAACATGATAGAAGAAGGTACAGTGATGAAAAATTGCTCACTTCATGGTGGCTAGCAGAGAGAAACACAGAGATGAGAGACAAGGTACCCTTAAACTTCAGATACCACCTCCCACCTACCCCCAATGATGCCATCAAAGTATGAATTTGTCTATGGATTAATCCACTAGTGGCACAGAGTCCTCATGGCCCAGCCACCTCTCAGTGGTTCCATCCACTGAGGACCAAGCCTTCAGCACAGGAGCCTTTTGGGTAACACTATCTAAATCATGATACCAAGTAAAGGAAACACAGAACTTTTCTTATTATTTCACATTTTTTGTGTGTAATTACTTCAAAATAAAAAGTGAAAAAAAATACGATTTATAATATTTTTAAAATTAGGTACCTTGGCTGGTCATGGTGGTGCTCACCTTTAATTCCAGCCCTCAGGAAGCAGAGACAGAAAGATCTCTGTGAGAACAAGGCCAGTCTGGTCTACATAGTGAGTTCTAGGCTAGCTGGGGATATAGGGAGACCCTGTCTCTAAAAATAAAACCAAACCAAAGAAACAAACACAAATCAGATAACTTGGAATAAATCTGTTGCACAAGAACTCCACTAAAACCATAAAACATTGTTGATACAAACTAAAGACAAAAGAAGTTGGACATCCCATATCTGTGCATTGAAAGATCTAACAAGCTGGCATAGGTCTAAAGATTAAGTGAAATCTGTCAAAATCCCAGCACGATCTTTAAAATATCATTATACGGGGCTGGAGAGATGGCTCAGTGGTTGAGAGCACTGACTGCTCTTGCAGAGGACCCGGGTTTGACTCCCAGCATGCACATGGTGGCTACGAACTGTCCTTGACTCCAGTTAAGGGGAATCTGACGCCCTCTTCTGACCTCTGTGGCACTGCACAACATGGGTACACTCGTGTACATGCAGGCGATACACTCATACACATTAAATAAATAAATTAATTAATTAAATAAAATATCATTATAAAAAAGGCCCGGAATAGACAAGACTAGGGGTGGGGACACTTTTTGTAAAGGGCCAGACTAAATACTGTAGGAGTATGTCCATGCAGTCTCTGTTCCAGCTGCTTTATTATGTCTTTGTGACAAAAAACCAACCACAGACAGGGATGAGCGATGGCATACCAGGCAAGCAAGAGGACCTGAGTTTAATCCCTGAGTACCCACATAAAAGCCTGTAATTCCAGTGCTGGGGAGGCAGAGACAAGTGGACCTCCTGTGGATCAATGAGCCCTAGGTTCAGTGAGAGACCTTGTCTCAAAAAAATAAGGGGCTGGGGAAGGGGCTCAGCAATTAAGAGCACTGGTTGTTCTTGCAGAGAACCTGGATTCAATTCCCAGTACCCACATGGCAGCTAATAACCATCCATAACTCCAGTTCCAGGGAATTGGACGCTCTCTTCTGACCTCTTTGGGCACTGCATGACATGGGTGCACTTACATACATGCAGGCAATACATTCATAGACATAAAATAAAAATAATTAAAAAATTAATTAAATTAAATAAGATAAAATAAGAGGAAGCTCAGGAGTGGTGGCACATGCCTTTAATCCCAGCACTTGGGGGCCTGAGAAGGAGGATCACCACAAGTCTGAGGCTAGTCCAGTCTAAATAGTAACTTTCAGACCAGTCAAGGCTACAGAGTAAGAAACTGCCTTAAAAAACAAAAAAAATTAGCCATCATGATCAAGTTGGCTTCATCACAGAAACACAGGGATGGTTCAACATTTGTAAATCAATAAATGTAATGTAATTCATTACACAAACAATCTCATTAGATGCAGAAAGGCCTTTGACAAAATCCAGCATCCCTTCATGATGAAAGTCATGGAAAATCTAGGGATACAGAGGTCTTATCAGCATAATAAAGGCAATATACAGCAGGCCAATAGCCAACATCATATCAAATGCAAAAAAACCTCAAAGCATTCCCATTTCAATCATGAACAAGGCAAGTGTGCTAGATAGCGTTAATGTCAACTTGACACACCTGGGTTGAGGAAGCCTCAATCGGGGAATTGCCTCTATTGGACTGGCCTGTGGCCATGTCTGATTTTTATCGCCTCTATTGGACTGGCCTGTGGCCATGCCTGAGGGGCATCTTCTTGATGAGTGATGTGGGAGGACACAGCCCACTGTGGGTGGTGCCACCCCTGGGCAGGTGGGCCTGTGTTGCATAAGAAAGCAGGCTGAGCAGGGCCCAGAGGAGCAAGCCAGTAAGCAGAATTCCTTCATGGCTTGTGCTCCAGCTCCTGCTTCCAGGTTCCTGCCCTGAGTCCTACCTTGGGCTCCCTGATGAACTGCGACCTGGGAGATGTAAGCTGAATAAATCCTTTCCTCCCCAAGTTGGTATTTGTCAGAGTGTTTTGTCACAGCAATGAAGAACAAACTAGGACAGCAAGGATGCCTACTCTCTCCATTCCTGTTCAAGAGAGTACATGAAAACTTAGAGCAATAAGACAATTGAAGGAGATAAAGGGAATGCAAATTGGAAAGGAAAAAGTCAAAGTGTCCTTATTTGTAGATGATATGATTCTATACATAAAAGACCCTAAAGAATCCCCCAGGAAACTCCTAGAGCAGATAAATACACAGCAAAATAGCAAGATATAAAATTAACACACAAAAGTCAGTAGCCTTTCTATATACCAACAACAAACACTGAGAAAGAGATCAGGGAAATGATCCCATTCACAATAACCTCAAAATCCATAAAAAAATATGTTGGAATCAATCTAACCAAGGAAGTAAAGGATTTGTATAATAAAAACTTTAAGACATTGAAGAAAGTAATTGAAGAAGATACCAGAAGATGGAAAGAACTCCCATGCTAATGGATCAGTAGTGTATTAGTCAGGGTTCTCCAAAGAAACAGAACCAGTAGAATGAATAAATATGTATAGAGATTTATCAGCTTAGCTCACAGGATAGAGTCCAAGTAGTCAACAATGGCTGTGCCACACTGGAGAGGCTGAGAATCCATAGTCGCTCAGTCCATGAGGCTGGATGTCTCAGTAGTCCCAATCTGATGCTGAAGGTCTGACAAATTCCAAAAGATCAACTAGTCTTCAGTCTACAACAGCAAGATGAACTCACCAGCGAGAGAGAAGGCAAGCAGCAAGAAGCCAGTGTTCTCCTCTGCCGTGGTCTTTATGCCGTGGACTGCCATCAGAAGGTACCACCCACATTTAGGGTGTGTCTTCCAGCTTCAAATGATCCAATTAAGAAGATCTCTCTCATTTCAGTTAATTCCAGATCCAGTCAAGTTGATACCCAGGATTAGCTATCACATGTAAGATTAATACTGTGAAAATGGCCATCCTACAAAAAGCAAGCTACAAATTCAATGCAGTCCCCATTCAAATTCCAACACAATTCTTCACAGAAATTGAAAAAAAAATCTCAAATTTCATATAGGAACACAGGCTCTAGTGGATGATTTCACACTGAGGAACATCTGGGGACACAAACAACTCAGTAAGCCTTAACATGTATGACAGAATGCATGAAATTTGGTGAGAGGAGGCTATTAGAAGGGTGCAGATAGGGGAAGGGGTCTAAATATGATTAAGATGTATGAAGTGCACAAAAATTCAATAAAAATATAAATTAAAAAAGAAAAAAAAGCCAGGATAGCCAAAACAATCCTGAACAATAAAATAAATAAATGCTAGAGGCATCACCATCCCTGATTTCAAATTATACTACAGAACTATAGTAATAAAAACAGCATAGT